GCGATTACACAAAAAAAAAACAATATGACAAAGGGTAGCGGAAGCATTTATTTCTATAAACGAACAATTAATAAACAACAATAATGACAAAATACATTAAAATAATGAAAGTTTTACTCACCGCAGTTTTTTCGCCCTCTTACTTCAGCAAATGACAAATATGGAATGAACAAGTGCAAATTTAAATGACAATTAGCAGTAAAGGAATGAAGCAAGAGCTAAAGGGATTTACAAACTAAAGTGCTGAACACATTGAAACCGACGAGTTATAAGATTGAATGGGGAAATTCACAATGGTGCTACTCAATTTATCACAGTAGTAAATGCTAATGTTGTGCAGTGCTCAAACAACGTTTATAATTGCACTGGCTTCGAGCGGTGAGTAATGCAGTTCAAGATGAATTTCTTATGATTCATCACTCAACTGAAAAGGATCAAACATGTCCGTAAATCTCCGCCTTCAACTTCCGCATCAGCAATCTGGGACTCGTTCTTCTCTACAAGCAATAACGGGGCGGCTATGGATTTCATTCTTATAATTATGTTTCCACTTAAATTAAGAACAAGCGAAATTTTATTTTTAAATTCCTCCCCTGTTGTGCATGTCGGCCAGTTGAAAAGGTAAAATTCAGTTTTAATAATAAAATATGGCAGTATGGGTGTCATAACAAAGAGGATTAAAAAAATATTATTTCGGCTATATTTTTGAAAATCGTTGCCACCCTTCTAAAAGCCCAAATTGGATAATATCAAATATTTTAATAAAATATTACAATATGGGTATCAAACGAAAGAGGTTTAAGAGATTTTTACTTCGAAGAATGCTGTCAACGAAAAATCAGTTAAATCTAGGAATTTATGTCTTTATCTTACTTTGCTTGCTTGAATTTGTAAGGAAAAACTAAGTGAACTTTTCAATGCAACGCCACAGTGAATCGCTTAGAACAAGCTTGGTGGACAAAAATATTTTATTGTACGATCTTGTTGCAGAATAACATGTTTAAATATGAATTATAATTTAGATTCATAAATAAAGTTAACAGATTAATCACTATCGTCGTATGACTCTTCTTCAGATAAATCAGTTACTGAATAACTATCACTGTCGTTCTGATGAACATCATTTGCTAACTGATCTGCTGGTATTGATGGCGGGGAAATTAAATTCAAAGCTTCCACAGGTAGTTTTTCGGATTTCTATGTAGGCAATTTCCTGAGCGAGTTGACAGTAAGTCTAAATTCGTTGAAGTTCGTGATTGCTTCCGCGTATGGTGCTCACGGAATCTACGACAGTCTTTATTTCGGGCCTCTTGCGATTCTTCTGAGAGCTGCCCAATTGGAAGAATGCATGTTTTAATAACATCACTGCTATGTATTAGTATTTTGTGTATAGTTTCTGGCATATAGTACCACGGATACAGCTAAAGATAAAGTACATATTCTGGTTTCAGAAAAAAATTTTCAAACTAATGTAAATAACGTCGTAACCGGAGGATAACGGCCTTAACAAATACGTAAACCTTTTAATTAGAGCATCATCCAAACCTGTAATCTCTCCGCTTAGTTCCGGATCCATAAAGAACCCGCGAGCTGTGTATCCATCGTTAGAATTGCCATAACCATGTTTTGGTTTGACTATAATAAGGCCCATTTGGCTTTTAAACTTAAGCTTAACTGAACACAAATACCATGTCCCCACCGGAGCTAACCACGTAGTTATGGCTGTTGAGTTGGTTATCCCGATAACCCACCTTATTTAGCGTAGTTTCGCCATATAAAAATGACAGCACTTAACCATTTCACTGAGATGGTTAAAAGCTAACCAACTCGAAACCGCGTCGAAAGTCTGATACAACCCTGTGTTTTCCTGCCATTTGTGGGTCATTAGCGTTAAAATGTAAAAAATTCGTTCCTTACTAGTGTTTGGACTCTACTAAGATCTGCAAATCTATTCCGTTTTTTTTTCATTCCTGTTATGCCCCTCTTGGGGCCGTTTTTTGAGTGTTCACCAGCGGTTTCAGTAAAAAAATTGAAAGTTAGCCAAATCTCACTGTTAAAAAGTAACTTTTTCATAGCACTGCGTCAATAAAGTAACTTCGTTATTTTTTGATGTATGGCTATAGAAATTGGCGGATACAGAACTATACTTAAGTTGTTAAAAAATATATGTAGAATAAAATTTATATAAAGTAAAAAAGGTTTAGATCCTATTGATCTTTAAAAAATTAAGTGTTAGAAACTTTCTACTTCATAGAAAATGCTAAATATTACCTAAATATGTAACATATTATCCTCACATTGCCTCGCGTTCTTATTTTGCATGAATAGAAAATATTTAAGTCAAACAATTAGTGTCAGAATCGAAAATAAAAAATTCAATCTAGTACGGAAAATTTTTTTTGCTCAGATTTTTAGTCTTGAATCGAGTTTTGGAGGTCCGAACACTGTTCTCTACATTTGTACTGCTTTAAGGCTGGTATGCAGCTCTCAAGAAATCGGTCAAGAAAAATTTGCCATTATTTCGTGTGTGTGTCCAAGGAATTTTGACATTTTTGATACTTCACAGCCTGTTGCCTCACTCTTTCCTCAAGAAATAATGGAACGAGCATATATTTCTGTTGCAAACCTGGGTTGCCTTGTGCTCTTTTTTCACAAAAAACTTTAGAAAACCGTAGAAAAAACCGTAGCAAATTTCTTAAGAACTCCATACTGTCTGAAGGAAATTTGACTCAAGAAAATTTCTTAGCCATTTCTTGTACGTCATTTTGTATGGAATTTTAGCTTTTCTTGAGAACTGCATACAGGCCTTTATAAACCTCAAACCTCAGTGTGGACAGCAATAGTTAGTGATTTGGTTAAGTTCGATTTGAGATGGATAACTTTTTGGTGGGGACATGTTATAAGGGCCAGTTTTTCAGTGCGAGTTTAACTTCGTTTCTCGTTTAAACTAAGTTTAAACTCAATGTGCAGTTTTTCAGTTCAATTTAAACGTACTTTAAACTAAGTTTAAACGCCGAATCTGGCAGGTTTAAACTGAGTTTAACTAATCAGCTGTTCATCTGTCGAGTTGTCATCAGCTGCAAAAGTTTATTTGAAAGTGAAATCAACAAAATTAAATATTTTGATAAAATCGATTTGTCTACTGACAGTGATTATAGCGACACAGAAATAAGCGAAATACTGACAATTGTTGTATTGCGAAGGACAAGAATTGTATCCTCTCGCCCAAATCATTTCAATGTCTTGGATGACAAGGATTTTTATGATCGATTCCGGATGAGCAAGGCATAAGTGTATAGCTTTTTGGAGCTTATCGGACATCGCATAAAGCACCCAACAGATTGGTAAGGATATTTTTAGTTTAATAATTACAGGTCTATTCTGCGCTGGTAATAAAAAGTTTGTAAACGGTACATAAAGTTCCTGTCAATTTTTAAACCCTTTTCGCATTCTGTGTACTCTTGTAACCGGTAAATTTTGTTACCATCTCATAAGCTGGTAACAAATTATTGCCCCGTGAAATATGCAATGCCAGGATTTGCACAATTCTTCATAGCTGAGCTGGTAACATTTTTTGGTAATACAATTTTCCGGTTACAAAATCTTCGGTAACGTGCAGAATATGCCTGTTAAAGTAACAATTTTTCCATTTGTAGGAATCACGCCTTAACAGAGGAGAAATGCTTTTAATCACTTTGCGGGTATATGCGAATGGTGGAATGCTTCAAACAATTGGCGATTTGTTTGGGGCATCAAAATCGACAGTGTCCAAAGTTGTTACGCTGCTGTCACACCATATAACCTTGCTAAGAGAACGGTTCATAATAGGAGCGTTCCTTATCTCCCAGAAATAGTCAGAAAAAGTCCGAAGTAGTCAGATTTAGTCCAAAAAGCGTTCCTTAACTCGGAAATGACAGCAAAAATGAGAGAGCAACAGTCAGTGAGAGTGACTCTGATCAGTCCGAAGTAGTCAGATTTAGTCAGAAGAATTTTTTCTGACTAAATCCTGAAAAGTGTCAAACTCAACTGAATTTAAATTAACGGAAATTAAAGAATACGCTAAAAGTGAGAATAATCTAAGAAGTAAAAGAAATGAATTGAGATTGGAAGGAGGCAAAAAATAATTGATATAGCAAGTGTTTATTGTGCTTGTGCTTGTGTGAATGTGTTTTGTACATACATTTCTGTTCTTATTTGACGTTAGTTTTGTTGTTGCCATTCTTTGGACTAAAAATTTGGGTTTTTGCGTTCCTTTACTTTTCCTGTTATTCTCTTTTAGTGAGCGCATTTTGCTTACGCTCTGGCATTGTGACACTTTTCAGATTTTAGTCCAAAAAGATAAGGAATGAACCTAATATTTCCAGAAGATGACAGCCAAAAATATGAAACTTATTAAGGTATTACAGTTTCTCACAGTAATAGGTGCTTTGGATTGTACGCACGTGAAGATAATCTCACCAGGTACCTACTTTTGCTTATTGTCTAGTAAACGAACTCACAAAATACTATTATATATTGACATATTCCATAGGTGGCAATAATCCGGAGCTTTATCGAAATACGTCCAAACAATGTGTGATGCAAACTTAGAGATAACAAACATTGTTGCTCGCTGGCCCGGATCTGCTCACGACTCAAATATACTAAGAAATTCCACGATTTATTCTCGTTTCGAAAACGGTGGATTCGGGGACAGTTTAATTGTTGCAGATAGTGGTTATCCAAATAAAAAGTTTTTGATAACACCTCTGTCTAACCCGATAACTCCAGAAGAAAACTTATTCAATGAGTCTTTAATAAGAACGCGTTGTACCGTGGAAAGTATTTATGGTGTTTGGAAAAGGCGCTTTCCAATTCTGTCGCTTGGAATTCGTTTAAACCAAAAAAAAAGTCCAGTGCATAATTGTTGCTACTGCTGTTCTACATAATATTTGTTGCACAAATAATTAAAACGATTTACCTTTATTAGATCCCCATGCTTCCACTGCAGTAGATTTCGCTCTCTGTCCCAAGGAACAGGCAACGAGAAACTTCGAATCCAAACAATTGAACCAGAACATCATTAGTTAACAATTACTTTAAGGACTTGTTTAGAAATGGAAACAGTTAGTTTTCATGTAAAAATTTTATATTCAGTCTTTTATTTTTTAAGTGCTTTCATAACGGTTTAGCGTACATAATAAAATATGAATTGGTCTAAATTTATCACATAATATAAAAGGTAATTCAGTTTTCTTATTACTATAAAAAAAAGGTAATTCAGTTTTCTTATTACTACAAAAAAGGGTACATTCATTTGTATTACTTTAATTATTTACAGACTACTCAGACTTTAAATTCATTTCGTATGACTGCATTCGTTTCCTTATATTTAAAAAAATAAAAAAAATAACATTAACACTAAAATTGAATAAAACAAAACTAAACACCAATGTTATTGCAATCACCCAAAATCTTTTTTTCCATTTGTTGTATTTGTAATTTTAAAAGGTCGATTTCCAACTCCATCTTTATAACTCAGAGATCGTGCTCCTTTTTCATTATTTCAATTTCCATATCTTGTTGTTTTTTTTTTTTTGATGTCGTGTTCCTCAGCAGTGGTTTTCATGAGAAGTTCACATTTTTGTTTCTTTTTTGCGGCAACACTCATTAAGGAGTCTGTCGCGGAATTCTTCCTCGCTTTCAAAACACCATGGACCGGTTTCCGCACATCTGCAGGCGTAGGCTTCCGCCACGAACTTTCCTGAGCTTTACCTGTTAAAGGAATTTATCTACGCATAAATAAAAAACACAAATGCATGAAAAGTTAAGTAGTACCTAACGCTTGCTCCATTGAAGTCTCGAGAAATTCAATACCGTCTTCGGCGTCCTCGAGCGTCTCCACAATGCAATTTTCGTCTAAAATATAGGAGGTATGTGTTGTAAAATTTTTCTAAAAATGTTAAGAGTATTACCACTTATTTCTAAGGCGTCATCATCATAGATAGATTCATTGCCAACTACTTGTTCAGACTGACACATACTTAAGCTGGAATTAGTCAAGAACGTAAACCTACCGGTACGTAAACCCGAGTCAGCTGACACGATCTGTCTTACTAGAGCGTCATGTAAATGAAGTCAACACCGCAGAATTTTTCTGTAGTTGTAGCCCGTAGCGCAGAAATCTGCGGAATTTAGATTTTTCCGTATCAGCTGATTTCTTCCCTCTATAGATGGTTGCCACTTCGTCAGTTTTGCTGATGGTAAAAAAATTATAAGTTCCTATTCAAAATACGTTTAAAATATTTGAAATTTACTATTGAATAAGGCTTTTTGTTGAAAACTAAGTAGTTTATATTTAGCTACAATCTATTATAGCACGAAAAATTGCAGTTGAAAAGTTAAGTTTATGAAAACGCATTGATGAATGGCAACACTGTAGTAAGCAACACTGAGGGCTCCAGTAATCGACAAAATTCAGCGTATACAGACTGCGTTTAAGTATACGTTCTGCGTTCTTGACTAATTTCAGCTTTAGTATTTTTTCGTCTATACTAGTAGTTGGTAAAGAAGCAGTCGTTCCACCTCCGGTTCTATACAGCACTCTCCTCTCAACTGCGAAATTTTTTTGACGTCTGCTTTAAATTTTCGTATTTGGTCCTCAAGACTTTTGCGTTCCTGAAGCCATGCCCAAACCTTTCGTTCAATTCCGTTTCCACGTCGCTCCATCCTTTGGCTTTTTCCTCGGGACTTGTTCTATCCGTTTTTTTTTGCACTCCAGCACATCCTTTGTGTCCACAAGTTCCAGCAAGTAGTTTACTTCACTTCTTGAGAAATTACCGCTTCGTCTAGACATTTTTAGTTTTATTTCACGTAAACTAATATTCCAATTGATGAATTATCGTGGTTATCCAAATACATATATGTCGCAATGAAATAAAAATACGATGTTCACTGTTCAACGTTTAATTCGGGAGTAAATTAATGGTATACATAAAATGAACATGAGAGTGAAACAGTAGCATTGTTACATAAGCAGGGTTGTATTTAAATGTATTATATTTCAACACCCCTTCTCAATGCGAATGTTCTTATTCTAGACTTAACAATTCTACAAAATCATTAAGCTTCTTTTTACATAAATTCTTTGTAAAAATGTCTGCTATCATGCAATCGGTTGATATATACTCTAACCTTATGTCACCTCTTTGACCGATCTCTCTTACAAAATGATACCTTATATCTAGTATATGCTTTGGTCTAGCATGATGGACCGGATTTTTCGCCAAATGTTGAGCACTTGGATTGTATCCGTACAATACCGCAGGGGTATTATTGTAACCACAACCGATTTCCACAATAATGCGCCTCAGATGTAAAGCCTCTTTTGTTGCCGACGACATAGCCATATATTCAGCTTCTGTGCTACTCAAAGCCACACAATCTTGTTTTTCGGATTTTCATGAAATAGCACCTCCAGTCAGGAAGAAAACATAACCGGTGTAAGATCTGCGATCGATCTTGTCGCCACCCCAATCTGCATCTGCATAACCCTTTAGGGCCTGGGCACACGCACTATAATGCAGCTTTACATCTATTGTCGATGCCAAGTATCGCAACACATGCTTGACACCCGCCAAATGTTCGCTATGCGGGTCCTTGTTGCGCTGTGCCAACTTCGCGACAGAATGGAAAATGTCTGGCCTCGTAGAAAGCGCTAGCCACATCAGCGCCCCGATAGTAGACTGATATGATGTTGGATCTACCCTTGCACAAATGTCTTCATCACACGCCGCTTTAAAACCTACGTCCAATGGTGTCGATGCTCGTCTACAGAACTCAATACTATGCTGCACCAATAACTCTTTGATATATTGCGATTTTCCAACAGATATTTTGCCTAGCTCGCCTTTTCGCTCAATTTGCATTCCCAGAAACATTTGAAGTGGACCCTTGTCAACGCACTCAACCTTTCTGAAAGGCCCGCTTTGACCTTTGTCATAACTCTCTTCGACTGACACGCTAGAAGTAGATCATCCACATAAACAAGAATAAGAAACAGATTACCTTCAATATCTTGCTTATATAGACATTGCTCGCTTTTGCATTGTGAAAAACCCAGTTCTCGTAGAGTTGTGTCTAGTTTGGAATTCCATTACCTTCCAGACTGCTTTAGGCCATAAATTGCCTTGTTAAATTTTAACACCTTCTCTGCACTTCGTTTGTCTTCATAACCTTTGGGCTGTTTCATATAGATCACGTCGTTTAGCTCGCTGTTCAAATATGTTGTGCATACATCCATCTGATGCAGATGTAACTTTAACTCAGCCACCAATGCCAGTACTAAACGTATAGTCTCAAACCGGCAGACTAGAGAAAAAGTGTCTATATAGTTCACGCCGTATTTCTGTGAACACCCCTTTGTCACCAGACGTGCTTTATACCGCTCCATATCACCATTTTTATTCTTTTTCAGAGCGTATACCCACTTACAGCCGATTGGTGACTGCCCTTTCGGTAAATCTACCAACGACCACGTATTATTTGCTGTTAGAGCGTGGTATTCCGTCGTCATTGCCTCGCGCCACAAATCTGCTTGGTCACCAGCTTGTGCTTCCTCAAACGTCTGAGGAAACCTACACGTCATTCGTGCCCATCGCATTCAAAACATTGAATGCCTTCCTTGGTCGACCTGCCTTCTCAACGTTCTTTTCTGCGCTGGCATACTCGTCACTTGCATTTTCATCGCTACTGGCATACTCTTTTCTAGATTCCTAGATCTGCTGGAACTTTTACTATATTTGGAAGATCAAATGAAATTGTTTCGCACCCAAATGCTTTGTAATCTGTCTCATCAAATAAAACGTCGCGTTTTTCAACAACTTGCCGTATACTAGCATCGTAAAACCTGTACGCCTTTGTCACCATCGAATAGCTAACCATTCGATATCGCTTTTCCTTGGCTTGAAACTTTTTACGCTGCGTTTTGTCTAATGCTACCGCTACTGAGCCAAATACACGCAAATGCTTCACTGATGGTTTTTTGCCAAACCATGCTTCATATGGCGTCATATTGCCCAACACCCGTGTCGGAGAACGATTCCGCAAGTAAGCAGCAGTTGCAACTGCCTCTGCCCATAACGCTTCACACATGCCCGCATGCACTAGCAAACTTCAGGCCATTTCCACCAGCGTACGGTTTGCTCGTTCCGCCACGCCATTATGCTGCGAGGTGGCGAGGGTACTGTCAACTGGCGCACCATACCGTGTTTCTGCAAGTATTCACTGAATGCCTTAATTAATTAATCCCAACGGCTTTTTACCCTCCATTCCCGCCCAACCGACACGAGGGGCGCAGTCCGCATGACGTACGGAACCTTTTTGTTTTTGTTTTTAGTTTTTTGGTGCTGAGTAGTGAAAACAGGAGTTTGTTAAGTATCGAGATCTAAAACTATTCAGCTACAGAATCAAATTCATCAGCTGATTGGATATGCTAAAGATAGTATTTCAATTATTGAGAGTGGAAATGATAGTTTTCTTTATAGTAAAAATCGAGTCCGGTATATCAAACGTGCTGGAATGAGAGTTCAAATCTTGACATAAACAACGGAATGATTCGTTTAGTTCAAAATTAGTTTTGCATGGCTTCAAAAACATAGGTCGAAAGTGTCTTGACACTCGAGAGGGCACATTAAAATTGACCTCAGCCAGGAGGGCCGGGCTATTAATCAAGCCTGTCATTAATTTTACGATAAATATTATACCTAGCATTTCTCTACGACTTGCGATTGTAGGCAAATTTATGAGCTTTAGACGACTTGTGTAAGGGGGAGATTGTAATCTGAATCCCAGTTAAAGTCACGCAACGCAAAAAGCAAGAATTTTTTTTAATTGATTCAATGCTCTCTGAATGAAATTGGTAGCAGGGATTCCAAACAATAGATCCGTATTCTAGTATAGGTGTAACTAAAGTGGTAAAAAGAGCTTTTGTAACATAAGGATCTTTGAGATCTTTTGACCATCGCTTTACAAATGCAAAAACGCGTTTGGCTTTATTGACTGTAACATTAATAACTATGATGGTTGGAATTGAGTTTGGGATCCATTGTGATATCAAGATCGACAAAACTGGATACCTGTTCCAGATTATAATTTGATATTGAATAAACAGTTGGTTGAACAGCCCTCCGAGAGAAACACATAACACATTACACCAACTAACCACGTTGCTCAGATCCGCTTGTAACAAAGACCTTTCTTCGATAGAGGACAGTGTTTTAAAAAATTTCACATCCTCCGCATACATTACAATTTTTGAATGTTTGATTATAGAAGAAATATCATTAATGAATATCAGGAACAGGATCGGACCAAGGTGGCTTGGAACTCCTGAAGAAACTTTAATGATGTTGGAAGAACAATTATTAACAATAACTCTTTGTGTTCTATCAGAGAGGTAAAATGAGATCCATTGAAGAAGACTGGGCTGAAAGCCGATTAGGTCGAGTTTACGGATGAGTAACGAGTGACATACTTTGTCAAAAGCTTTACTGAAATCGGTGTATATTACGTCGGTATGAGCATTTTCTCTAAAACCGTTTGAGACACGAGTTGTAAACTCCAATAAATTAGTGATAGTAGATTTTCCTTTATAAAACCCGTGTTGAGATTGTGAAGTTGAAGAAGATATAGAATATGTCAGCTGATTAACAATAATTGCTTTATTTAATTTAAGTTGCGCAAGGTGAACATTAGGAAGACTTTTTGAACACGTTCAATTCGATTTATCATGTTTTTATGGCAAGGCCTCCAAATAATTGCAGCATATTCTAAATTGGAGCGAACAAAAGGTGTAAACAACAATTTGAGGGTATATGGGTCAGAAAAAATTTTTGCTATTTCGTCTCACAAATCCAAGCATTGCGTAAGCTTTTGAAACAATATGACAATTTTGGCTATTAAAAGAAAAATTTGAAGAGAAAATTACGCCAAGGTCTTTGATCTCGTTAACAGAATTTAATATTGTAGAAGATATATTATGAGACGTAGCCACGATATTGCAATTTTTGCATAGGTGACTTTAAAACATTTTTTAACATTCAAAGACAGACAATATTTAGTGCACCAACGATGCAGATTATCAATTTCAGCTTGAAACTTTGTCGCATCAGATGAGCTCTTTATGATCGCGAATATTTTTAAATCATCTG